TTTTTTTGTACTTGTTAAATATAGTAACATATTGATATTTGTGAACAAAAGTGAACAATTGCAACTTGCATGAATGGTAAATATGATTGTAAGATAATAATAGCTAATAATAATGATGATGATAATWATAATGATAGCTCTGCWACTTATTTATTCATTGACTGRTAGTTGCTGATTGCTGCGAATAAACTTATTTGTAGTTTTAAGTGAACCTCCCCCTCACATTCCTACCCTACCAAAAATAATAATTGACAGTTTGCACCTAAGGAAATCCCGAAACGATTTTCACGTTTCTTATCCGTTCGTACTATGGCCGCCGACCGCTCATTGCCAGATTAGCTTCTAGGGGCAATTATTATAATTAAAGATAAAGACATAAAATATGTCTTCATGGACTTCATGTCCTTATTATACTCGCAGTTCTGTAGAATGATAAGATAGTCTCCTCGGCAGACGTCTTTCTTTCTTCTTTCCGTACTTTTAATAGGTAAATGAGTAGAGTGTTCAACAACTGTGCATCAGCAATCTTATGCGAAAAAAAGGCAATTCGCAATTATAACTCGTTTCCCAAAGAAAAAAAAAAACCTTCAAAAAAAGGTTCCACCGAGACTTGAACTCGGATCGCTGGATTCAAAGTCCAGAGTGCTAACCATTACACCATGGAACCTACGTGAGTTWASKYAGTGTCAAAATTCMATTAGATTTCAATGGCCATAAACCCCTGTCAAAAATCATTGTAGGGTATTTTGATCTGTTGCCGACTTTCATAAAACATTTAATTGACATATTTCAAAATCAAAAATTAGGTTCTTGTCAAATAAAATGAACTATTTCCATAGTATGCCAAGTTTTCTTACATCTGATACTAGAATTAATTAAGTATATCCTTTTTCGAGATAACATTTTAAAATCGGAACTAGTAGATTACAGTACATTAGTGTAGGCATTTAATCAGCTGGTTTTTATTGCCATTAATAAAATTATAACAAGCAACCAATCAAGGAACCACACATACAAACCAACGACCGCGTGATACTGGGACTAGAAGCAATTGTCTAGTCCATCAAAGGAAAAATAATCAAAATTTTCAGCTTCTACGCCGGAGATCGAACATCAGCTGTATCGCCGTTTCTAGAGTGGTAATTTTCAAGATCGTTATTCAAACAAGCTGGAGTTATAAAGATATTGTAAAAGGTGTAAAAGATATTCCAATGGAGTCTTTTAGAACGTGCTTGTTCGTGATAGTTATTGTTCAGGTTAGCTTGGTTTTAGGACACGGAGATCACGAAGGAAGCCGACTACATAATACTAAAGTAACCCATGATAAAGAGTGAGTAGATTGACTGATATTTCACAAGAATTATTACTTGTTGACATTCGATTGGGAATTCTCGATTCAAATTCTGTGTGTCGATTGATGATTCGAAACCCACGTGGGTTCAACATCTGTGTTACTACACAATCGTCAATTCAAATCATTTATCAAATTGTGATATTTAACTTGGATATTGCTCTTTTATTGACCATATATGCTGAAGTACACAATCATATGATTTGACATTTTAAAAATCGTATTTGCATAAAATTAACGTAAAAATATTTGTAATTTCCCAATCAGTATTCCTGCAAACACTGTCACCAGGTATTATCCTCCTTGAATGTATTTACAAATTATTATTTTCACTTTGAAATATATATGTATATATATTTTTTCTTGTTTTGACAAAAGATTTCTATTTCTTTAGGCATATAAAAGAGCATCTTAAAGAAGAAAATATTGATGTCAAAGATGAAAACCTTAAGGATGAAGATCTTCAATTTCATTATTTTAAGATGCATGATTATGACGGGAATAGTAAACTAGATGGAATTGAGTTAATGAATGCTATGACACATTACCATGACGAATCCGATACAAATAGCACRGAAACATATACTGATGAACAGATGTCAACAATGATTGACCAGATTTTAAATGAAGATGACACAAACAAAGATGGTTATATAGATTATCCGGAATTCATTGCATCACAGAAAAGTTAACTGACCATGGAACAATGCTTGCAATCTGTTTGACTCATTAGATGTACTTTTGGGTATTCTATTGTCGTTATGAGTATTCCAATGGGGTTTGGCTTATATCAACTAGAGATCAAATGACAGGATAATAGATTTATTGTTACTGAACTGGAACTCTTTGCTTGTTACTAAATCAAATGAAAKACTTGCCATGAATTTTGTTTTATTTTTTGATACATTATAAAAGGAAAAATAATTCCAGAATATTCTATCAAATTTTAAGGTGGAAMTTATYAAGAGTAGATAAAAAGATACAAAAYTAATATACCTGGCAATGGTGTACTTACGAAGTAGAATAAAGAAACTGCATAAAAACCTTCGTAATTTTATTTTATATTCAAAATATCAGAAACAAAGTAATAACTGGAAAATGTATTTTACAATTCATAATACAATCATTGCAACAACAAAATAAATTGGAATGAAATTCTGAACAGAATTCTTGCTGTCTTAATATATYAATATAACTGGGAAGGCAGCCTGATTTTCAGTTTGGCCTGGGTCYGACACTAACGCTTTTGGGTAGGGAAGTGAGCTATATTTTGCCAATACGGGAAGGAGTCAAAGATTTTCAACGCGATAAGAAAAAATCTTTAAGGGACCATGTAACATTCTGTCTATCACGTGATTAAATATGAAATTAGAATTGGTGTAGAATGGTGGGAACAAGCGGTAAACTAGTGTGTTGCGTTGGTGTTTCTAAAGAAACAGTTGCATAAAAGATAAATTTAACACCGTAAAAAAAAAATTGTGAAAAACTTACTGACGTTTCGGACGTTAATCCTTTGTCGGAGAAAAGAGATGGAACAGAATACCTTTTGTTACTTCTAAAATATTAGTGAAAGCAAGAATGCTAGCCCRACTTCACGCTCTTATAGCATCTAGTTAATATTGTAATAAATATAAGAATCATGATTATATCTATCATTGCTACATGTACTATTAATCATTTAGCTGTGGTTATCATAATATAAATTATAATAATTTCTGTTCAAAACATAARAGTGAGGAATGAAACAAAGCCTGAGAAACAAATAACATGAATTTTTCGTTCAGGTTTTGTCACTCTATAATATCAAAGACAAGAAAACATTCTGGCCAATTACTAATAATTTTTAACAGGCATGCAGCCCAGTTCTGGTTCGGCTGGATGCAGACTAATAATTTATTGCTGTTCTTCAAGTTTCAAAACTGATTTTTGTATCATTGTTCTGTAAGCCATGTATCCTTTACTGTGAGAGAGGTTCACCGGTTACTAGAATTCCTTTCTCATAAAGCATAGTGACTACATCAACCTATAAACAACAACAAGCATTAGAGGTACATCAACCTATAAACAACAACAAGCATAGTGACTACATCAACCTATAAACAACAACAAGCATTAGAGGTACATCAACCTATAAACAACAACAAGCATAGTGACTACATCAACCTATAAAC